GTTAATACAGCGATGCATGTTCAAATCACTCATCAGCTCATATAAACCACTGGATCAGCTCTGGTCTACACCAGTTTGTGCTGGTCTACACCGGATCATGGTTTCTCTGCTGGTCTACACCAGTTTGAACTAGTTGAGCTCAGTGGTGTTGAAAGCATAAGCCATGAGATGAGAGGTGATTTACTGGGGGCACGACAACATTGACCAAACCAAACTAAAGGATGTTAATGGTGGATAAATAATGTAAAAACTGATGTGCATCACAGGTGTTGTCAAAACTATGATTGCATTTAAAAATATTATTAATAATATTAATATTATTTTTCTGAATTATTTTTTTTTAGAGTGAATTCTTTTTCTGAATTATTTTTCTGAATTATTAATTTTAGAGTGAATTATTTTTCTGAATATTTTTTTAGAGTGAATTCTTTTTCTGAATTCTTTTTAGAGTGAATTATTTTTCTGAATTATTAATTTTAGAGTGAATTATTTTTCTGAATATTTTTTTAGAGTGAATTATTTTTCTGAATTATTTTTAGAGTGAATTCTTTTTCTGAATTATTAATTTTAGAGTGAATTATTTTTCTGAATATTTTTTTAGAGTGAATTATTTTTCTGAATTATTTTTGGAGTGAATCATTTTTCTGAATAATCTTTAGAGTGCATTTTATTTTTGAATTATTTTTTTAGAGTGAATTATTTTTCTGAATTCTTTTTTTAGAGTGAATAATTTTTCTGAATAATTTTAGAGTGAATTATTTTTCTGAATTATTATTTTTAGAGTGAATTATTTTTCTGAATTATTTTTTTAGAGTGAATTATTTTTCTGAATTGTTTTTCTGAATTATCATATTTAGAGTGAATAATTTTTCTGAATACATTTTTTAAGAGTGAATAATCTTTAGAGTGAATTTTATTTCTGAATTATTTTTCTAAATTATTAATTTTAGAGCTAATTATTTTTCTGAATTATTTTTAGAGTGAATTATTTTTCTGAATTATTTTTGGAGTGAATGCTTTTTCTGAATAATCTTTAGAGTGAATTTTATTTTTGAATTATTTTTTTAGAGTGAATTATTTTTCTGAATTATATTTAGAGTGAATTATTTTTCTGAATTATTAATTTTAGAGTGAATTATTTTTCTGAATTATTTTTAGAGTGAATTCTTTTTCTGAATTATTAATTTTAGAGTGAATTATTTTTCTGAATATTTTTTTAGAGTGAATTCTTTTTCTGAATTCTTTTTAGAGTGAATTCTTTTTCTGAATTATTAATTTTAGAGTGAATTATTTTTCTGAATATTTTTTTAGAGTGAATTCTTTTTCTGAATTCTTTTTGGAGTGAATCATTTTTCTGAATAATCTTTAGAGTGCATTTTATTTTTGAATTATTTTTTTAGAGTGAATTATTTTTCTGAATTCTTTTTTTAGAGTGAATAATTTTTCTGAATAATTTTTAGAGTGAATTCTATTTCTGAATTATTTTTCTGAATTATTATTTTTAGAGTGAATTCTTTTTTTAGAGTGAATTCTTTTTCTGAATTATCATATTTAGAGTGAATAATTTTCTGAATACATTTTTTAGAGTGAATAATCTTTAGAGTGAATTTTATTTCTGAATTATTTTTCTAAATTATTATTTTTAGAGTGAATTATTTTTCTGAATTATTTTTCTAAATTATTATTTTTAGAGCTAACTATTTTTCTAAATTATTTTTAGAGTGAATTATTTTTCTGAATTATTTTTGGAGTGAATGCTTTTTCTGAATAATCTTTAGAGTGAATTTTATTTTTGAATTATTTTTTTAGAGTGAATTATTTTTCTGAATTATTTTTAGAGTGAATTATTTTTCTGAATTATTAATTTTAGAGTGAATTATTTTTCTGAATATTTTTTTAGAGTGAATTCTTTTTCTGAATTCTTTTTAGAGTGAATTCTTTTTCTGAATTATTAATTTTAGAGTGAATTATTTTTCTGAATATTTTTTTAGAGTGAATTCTTTTTCTGAATTCTTTTTGGAGTGAATCATTTTTCTGAATAATCTTTAGAGTGCATTTTATTTTTGAATTATTTTTTTAGAGTGAATTATTTTTCTGAATTCTTTTTTTAGAGTGAATAATTTTTCTGAATAATTTTTAGAGTGAATTCTATTTCTGAATTATTTTTCTGAATTATTATTTTTAGAGTGAATTCTTTTTTTAGAGTGAATTCTTTTTCTGAATTATCATATTTAGAGTGAATAATTTTCTGAATACATTTTTTAGAGTGAATAATCTTTAGAGTGAATTTTATTTCTGAATTATTTTTCTAAATTATTATTTTTAGAGTGAATTATTTTTCTGAATTATTTTTGGAGTGAATGCTTTTTCTGAATAATCTTTAGAGTGAATTTTATTTTTGAATTATTTTTTAGAGTGAATTATTTTTCTGAATTATTCATTTTAGAGTGAATTATTTTTCTGAACATTTTTTTAGAGTGAATTCTTTTTCTGAATTCTTTTTAGAGTGAATTCTTTTTCTGAATTATTAATTTTAGAGTGAATTATTTTTCTGAATATTTTTTTAGAGTGAATTATTTTTCTGAATTATTTTTGGAGTGAATCATTTTTCTGAATAATCTTTAGAGTGCATTTTACTTTTGAATTATTTTTTTAGAGTGAATTCTTTTTCTGAATTCTTTTTTTAGAGTGAATAATTTTTCTGAATAATTTTTAGAGTGAATTCTATTTCTGAATTATTTTTCTGAATTATAATTTTTAGAGTGAATTATTTTTCTGAATTATTATTTTTAGAGTGAATTATTTTTCTGAATTATTTTTTTAGAGTGAATTATTTTTCTGAATTGTTTTTCTGAATTATCATATTTAGAGTGAATAATTTTTCTGAATACATTTTTTAGAGTGAATAATCTTTAGAGTGAATTTTATTTCTGAATTATTTTTCTAAATTATTATTTTTAGAGCTAACTATTTTTCTAAATTATTTTTAGAGTGAATTATTTTTCTGAATTATTTTTGGAGTGAATGCTTTTTCTGAATAATCTTTAGAGTGAATTTTATTTTTGAATTATTTTTTTAGAGTGAATTATTTTTCTGAATTATTAATTTTAGAGTGAATTATTTTTCTGAATATTTTTTAGAGTGAATTATTTTTCTGAATTTTTTTTAGAGTGAATTCTTTTTCTGAATTATTAATTTTAGAGTGAATTATTTTTCTGAATATTTTTTTAGAGTGAATTATTTTTCTGAATTATTTTTGGAGTGCATTTTATTTTTTGAATTATTTTTTAGAGTGAATTCTTTTTCTGAATTCTTTTTGGAGTGAATCATTTTTCTGAATAATCTTTAGAGTGAATTATTTTTCTGAATTGTTTTTAGAGTGAATTATTTTTCTGAATATTTTTTTTAGAGTGAATTATTTTTTAGAGTGAATTATTTTTTAAGAGTGAATTATTTCTCTAAATTACTTTTGGAGTGAATTATTTTTAGAGTGAATTATTTTTAGAGTGAATTATTTTTTCTGAATTCATTTTTATAGTGAATGTTTTTCTGAATTATTTTCTGAATTATTTTTGGAGTGAAAATTTTTTCTGAATTAATTTTTATAGTGAATTATTTTTCTAAATTATTCAGAATTTTCTAGAGTGAATAATTTTTTAGACTAATGTTTTTAACTTACGATTGTAGATCCTTTACTGAAGTGTCTAAGCTCGGAGTGAAACGCAGCTCGCGTCACTCACACACACACACACACACACACACACTCACACTGGCCGACGCGCTGCAGGTCTTTCCTCTGTCGGCACGCGAGCGTCTGGAGTTTCTCTGGAGAGACGGAGCCGTGTGACAGATCCAGCATGAGCCGTGGGTCTGAAAGCGGATCAGAACAAACACATGTGACGAATGCTCAGAGTCTCAGTGTGTGTGTGTGTGTGTGTGTGTGTGTGTGTGTGAGTGTGGACCTCTGTTCTCCTGCATGATGTAATCCACAGGGTTGCTGATGGCAGACAGGGAACACGCCGGCATCACAAGCGCCACACGAACCTCCTGGAGACGCACGTCACACACATCCACACACCCCAGAGACACTGGAAGCAGCTTCACATCTGACAAACACACACCGCAGTTTGTCTTCAGCTGATCCTCAATTAATATTTGCTGTAGAGGAACTAACAATAACTCAATAACTTTGGCAATAAAAAAGTTTGTTTCCATTTGTTAGTGAGCGTCCCCAAATGACTTGTTTATACCAAGGTCACACACAAACACACACACAAATCATTTTTCATATAGTACATTATAATTTTGTGATGTCTAAATTCACTTTTTGTATACTTTTGTTTTATATACTATATACATATATATATGTATAATATACACACACATATATATAAAATTGTAAGATAATATAAAATATATACTGTATGTATGCATATATAAAAATCAAGTGTATATATATATTTGAATTTTCTTTTTTTTATAAAAATCCATCTTTCATACTGTATAATCTAATTCACTTTTTGCATGTTAAATTTGCATGCAAATCTTTTGTGAATTTTTCAACTTTTTTTATATTTTTATCATATTGTAAATTATAATGTTGTGAAGTCTGAATTCACTTTTGAGTGTTAAATTATTTAATTTTTAGTGTTTTTTATATATTTATAAATTATGAATTATATAGTATGTATGTATATACATATGTGTGTGTGTGTGTGTGTGTGTGTAAATTATAATAAATAAAATAAAATCTCTTACTCTTGCAGCCCATTTTGGCGAGTGTGTTCTGTAGTTCATCTTTCTGCGCCTGCGGTTCATCTCCCACACACACAATCACTTTGCTCTGCGCCGGAGAGATGTGTGTGTCAGTGTGTGTGTGTGCAGACAGCGCAGACACGTGTGCAACGGTCCGAGCCGAGAAACACCCGGTCATGAGGACGTCTCCTCCTTCAGCCAGCAGGGGGCGCAGCGCCCAGGGGCCCACACAACACGACTTATCC